GGACTTGGAGCGGATTTATCATTCAATTCTCAACTGATTCATTTCATTTTACACTTTTCAACTATCCTCGTAAATTTTAATATGAGATACTTTTGTCCTTAAATTGTAAATTTTATCTCACTTTGAGATACATTTTATGGCTAGGTACAAAGTATATTTTAGGGACTAAATTGGAAGAAATTTTATACATTAGAGACTAAAATGACCAAGTTTTATACTTCAAAAATTGAAGTATAACGAATTTTATAATTTAGAAACTAAAGTGTCTCATTTTGAAATTTAAGAATCAGAGTGAAAATTCAAATTTAATTAAAGGGTACAAAGTGTAATTAACCCATTCTCGATCACGGGGTGAAAATTAAATCATGTAAGTTAACATTTTATTTATGAAGTGATGTTTTGGAATTCGATGATCAGTGTGGCATTCATAGCGATTCAATTAAAACAATTTGTACTAAAAGGACTCGTTTTGATTGCATTTTTCTGAATTTTTTTGTAGAAATATTACTGTGGTGATTTGATATATGTGAGGTAAAAATGTGATAAGGAAATGTGTTCACAGAAAACGTAACAATTTTTTCTAGATTGATTGGTTCATTCTTTTTTTTTTTTTTTTTTTCAAAAGATTGATTGATTTTTTTGCTGTGCAAGATTGTGAGATGCAAACTACGAGGATGTTCATTGTGGTATTAAATTTTTTTTTGGGAAGGATTCATTGTGGTATTTTCCTAGCAAATTCTCTAATACTACAATTTAATGATTTATCAGCCCACAAATAAAAAGTTGCAATTGATATGATTGATGTTTAATCTTCTTTAAAAAAAAATTACAACTAATAGACCACATTTATAATTTCGACCAAGTGATGATAGGATCGTACGTCCGAAGTTGGGGCTTCTCAAATCAAAAACAACAAAAACAGGACTCCGGCCCCCAGCTAGGAAAGCGTAGGCTCGTAGCTGGGGGCATTTGGTAAGTGGTAACATGTGCTAAATTAGTGTGTACATATTAGCCTTACTTTCACGCGGAGGCGCGCGGACTGTACGTGATGAGTTTGTAATTTGAAAGGTGGTAAAATATCTCCCTACTTCCCCACTTTTCCATCTTTTTTACTACTGTAAAAAATTAAAGCATATCTGCAGGCATCTGATTCCTTCATATATAGGTTTGCTCATTCATGGCCTTGCATTTGGTGACGTCTGTTGGTCGGGTCCTTTTGAAGACAGAATTGCCTTTTGGTTTGGTGTTTAAGAGGAAACTTCATAGCAAAGAGGTTGAAAGCTAAGGAAGAATTCTCGTTCCATGCAATGTATGATAGGAATGTGGCACCTAATTCTCTGTATTTTGGGTGGCTATAACTAAGCAACTAAAAGGTATCTCCTGCCTCATCATGTGGCTCCATTACCATATAAAAGGGCTAAAAGTAATTTATTTTGGTTCATTGTAAGATGAATAACAGTGTAGTGTCAAATTATTATACATCAGAAAATTAATTTATTTGAGTCCCTTGTGCTAAGTCAAAAAGAGATCAAACTTGAATTTTGATCCACTTAATTTATTATTATTATTTACAATGATATTTTGCTCTCCACTTTTATTATACAAGAAAATTTTAAATAAATTTAACTGTGATCATCATCACAAATCAAATCAATGTATGTCCTAAAGATCATGGATCGCCTGCATAATTTAGAAAAAAAAAAAAGAATAAAAGAAAAAAGTGATCCGCGCTGCCACTGCCGGTTGAGGCGACATTAGTTGGCACGCATCCTGCTCTCGTTTCTCAGTTTCCGGTGAACGAGTCTCCGGAGGCGCATCTTGTGAAGCCTCTGAGCAATCACGCTCGCTAGTGGTAGGTCCCTAAAGCGCGTGAAATAGCAGAGAATTTTGGGGACCTCAGCGCTTTCTTTCTTGTTTCTAGTATAACAGTAAAAGAAGATCGCAAAAAAAGCTGACATTTTGATTTCCTACAGCAGAAAAAGTTAACAAAACAACTGTACAGGGTTTGTTATAAATTGTAGGGATAATTTCAGAAACCTCCCCTGAGGTTTCTGACACTTTCACTGACATCCCCTGAGGTTCTCAAAATTTCACTTACCTCCCTTGATAAAAATTGGGCCCCTTTTCTGACGTCATCAGGGCCAAAATTACAGATATATCCCAAGTAGTTGGGGTTAATTACTACCGTTTATGTTTAAGTTACATAATGAATTTTCTTATTCTTTACGTACCTATTCTTGTCATGCAAGATTACACGCCTGACTTCAAATTACGTACTTTGCAAGAAAATGTCTGTGGAGTCATTTGTTACAAGACAAGAAGTTCAATCAAATAAGAACAATTTATGTACACAGGTGGGATTGGGAATTCAAGCTTGTCCTTTTTGGTATTTAGGATAATGTTTTTATATGAACTCAAGGAAGATGGATAGCCTATTTTGCAAGGTTATTAGGTAATTTACCTTTGTGGAATTCTTGATATCAAGCCATTTGATTGCTAATGTGGACAGGTGGCTTAAGCGCGTAATAAGTGCCATGGATTCGAAGTTCGGCTGAAATATCACATATCGAACGAAGTCTTTATTAGAAACCTAATTAGAAACCTATTAGAGTTCAGTGAGCTCTCGTACTAAGCTCCACCGCCAACCCTCCATTTCGAAAAAAAAAGACAAAAGCAAAACAAAAGCAAACACACGAAGCGCAGAATAACGTTGAAACCCGCAAGCGGGATTATGTGTTTTTTCTATTTCAAGGTTAGCTCGCATGCGGGTTAATGTTATATTTGAGCGCGAGAAGAAAAAATTGGTAATTAGGCTCTTTGGGCATTATAAGTAAATATTTAAATTAATGGCAGTTTTATTACACCAATATTATTGTATTATCATTATTATGATTATTGTATTATTTCTTATGCAAATATAACATTTAATTATTTAAATTTGATTTTATTTTTACAATTTATAAAATTTTTATCACTTATATAATATTTTTAAAACCCTAATACATCTAAATTTGATTTTATTTTTCAAATTTATAAGATTTTTATTTAAAAAAATGGGATACGGATAAGATATCCGGTTGGTTCGATTTGCATAGGTGCATATGAGAATATCCGAATACTCCTGAAACCCGCAAGCGGGATTCTGTGTTTTTTCTATTTCAAGGTTAGCTCGCATGCGGGTTAATGTTATATTTGAGCGCGAGAAGAAAAAATTGGTAATTAGGCTCTTTGGGCATTATAAGTAAATATTTAAATTAATGGCAGTTTTATTACACCAATATTATTGTATTATCATTATTATGATTATTGTATTATTTCTTATGCAAATATAACATTTAATTATCCAAGCAGTTTGATTTTATTTTTACAATTTATAAAATTTTTATCACTTATATAATATTTTTAAAACCCTAATACATCTAAATTTGAATCTAATTTTCTACAAGTCATACTTATAAATGCGAAATCTAACAAAAAAGTTAAATACAATTTTTGCAGGTCAAATTTAACAAATGCGAGCTATTTGCAAAATTTTAAATATTTGCAACATTTTTTAAAACAAAAATTAGAAGCTTTCTGCAAATAATTCCCTACCTCTCAAAAAATACCAAAATAAAAAAGATAAGAGCTCGCATTTGCTTCCTAGAAATAATTCCCTAGCTCTTAAAAAAGGAAAAAAAAAATTGAGAAGAGCTCGCATTCGTGGAATGCGAGCTCAATAACCAGAGCTCGCATTCCACGAATGCGAGCTCTTGTAAGCTCGCATTTGTGAAATTCACAAATGCGAAGACCCCCCTGACGGAAATTAAACCCAAAATCACCCCTTTTGTAGAATTTTTTTAAAATTCATCACAAAGTTGGAAATTTCTCAATAGAAATACAACTTGTCTGGATTCCTTTCACTCTCTGATATCATTACGGTTGCTTTGCGATTACAGCGGCAAAACCTGTTTTTAATGGAGAAAGATGTAGGTGAATTCCATGATTCTCCCCTATGGCTTGAAGAGGCCATGGTTGCAGCTAAAACTTTTTACTCAGAGCTCTAATTGTAGCACAGCAAATGCACTTGTTATCACTCCAAATTAGTAGCAAAGAATGTTAATAGCTTGAAACCTCAGAGGTAGTTAAGTTGCTTTGCTTTATATGCTATTGCTACTGAAACAGCAAACCTTCTGGCCGTTGCAATTTGCAGCTAGCCGTTGCAAAATCTGCCAAATAACTGTTGCATGGCACATTTGGTGCATGCAATTTTTTGTATTGCACTTACCCCCCCTCAACTTTACTAATTAGTCCAAATCATTTATTCTTCTTTGAATCTTCTACTAATACAACTTCTGCAAAGGGTAGCTATGGAATAAAAATACCTTCTCACACATGAAAATAATATTTTAATCTGATTTGGACTGGATTGTTACCACAAAATCAAAAGCAAGGGAGGTAAGTGAAATTTTGAGAACCTCAGGGGATGTCAGTGAAAGTGTCAGAAACCTCAGGGGAGGTTTCTGAAATTATCCCTAAATTGTACGTAGTCATTGCTAAGTAACCCTAGTGGTTTTATATCACAACGACTTACTGCTAATAATTGGAATCAACTACAAGCGAAAATGGAATTTGTTTTCACCTGTTTAAATTGTTATTTTTTGAAATTTTTATAAAAATATTATACATATATATATATATATATATATATATATATATATATATATATAATTTGATGCACGTAAAATAAAAAAATTATTAACAAATGCATTTAAGAAAAATGTAAAAGTTTTTCAATAAATAGAAAATTGCAATCTAAACACCACCACCTTGGTAAGATTATCCATTTCATTCTTTGGAGTTTGGCGGGAGAGGGAGAGGACTATCATGGTATCATGGTCATGGAACTGGTTGAATCCCTCACCTAAGAGTAAGACCAAGCATGCAAATAAAATCAACAAGTCTCCGTCATATGAAATTATTTGGGTATACATGCATTTAATTTCGGCTAGCATCGCATATGGAGTGAAAAATTGCTCTGTTAGAGAAAATACCTGTGCAGTAATGCATCTTTGATATCTTTGTCCGACTCACACTGGGAAAGAGCAAAGCCCAGGCTGAAGATTACAGTGGAGATCTAGAATGAATTATTTATCTAATCTATATAATCCCTCTTTTGCTGGTTGTTCATTTAACTTACTTGTACCGAGGCCCTTGTCTTAACATTTTGTCATGAAGCCAGCCAGTGAACGCCACTCTCCTCTCCTCCTCAAGTCTTTTCAACCACATCTAAACCCAAAGCGGCATCCTGCTTTTTGCAGCTGTTTGCTAATTGTTTAATTAATTGTACGGAAGTACTCCTTCATTTTGTCACGGAGCCGCAACGCGCTTCTCTTCCTCCTCGAGCCTTTTCAGCCATCTAAAACCAAGGTCGCATCCTCCTTTTGCAGCTATTTCAAATTGATCTCTCGCCATCTCAAGTGGATTAAGCTCACTCCTTTCCCCCTTATTTCTTTGTATTCTGGTCAGGGATCTCCTTTTTGTACTAAATCTTGTTAGCGATTCTGGAACTTCCGCACCTGAAAAATGACATCAATTTCATGCTTAAGGTAATTAAATTAAAGTTTAGTAACAATAAATGTGCTTCATCAGAATGAGTCAACAGAGCAGGGAAAGAAAACTTCCCAGCTGAATCCCATGTTACATTTGTTACTCAAATGTTTGCGACAAATAACCTCCTGAACCGTGTAGATTAGGTTATAGAAATGTTATCATTGCTGTAAAAAAAAAAAAAAAAAAAAAAAAAAACCTCCTGAACCGTGTCAATCTCTTAAAGGCAAATAACCAAACAGTTTCTTTCTCAACCAAATTATGTACATCACAATATTTTCCACCAATATAGTAAATCAATGCACAAGGCTGAAAAAGAACACGGGCATCTTGCCTCTAAGAAGCAGGGAACCATATGCTATGGCGGCTCCAGCATGACCCTGCAGAAAAGTTGACAGCACAGTGGAGAGTTCAGCATAATTTCTGATAAGGATAATCCCCACAGGCGAAAAGTTAGTCAAAGTTTCTTATTGACCCTTTAATCACTAATTAACAGTCTAAGATCTCATATAGGATACCATGATGCCTGTTTGCACTATGCAACAGACAAAACAAAATATTTGCTTTGTGCTTACAAAATACACACACATGTATGCTTTTGCTTTGCCAGATCACTTTGCAAGAAATTGGCGGAAGAATGGTTCTTCTATTTTTTTTTTTTTTCAAAGCATCATGACTAAGTAATTACAAGTTGCACTACAAGAAGCAGATAGATGAAAGTTATTACCCTCTCAGAAGCCCTATGGAAACACCATATAGCAGATGCAACATCTTTCTTCACACAATCTCCAGTCAAATAGACAGCACCTAAGAGGTAAAGAGCACCTGGATGCAACTAGATATGTAGACAGCTTTGATAAGCATATTTGGCAGACTTTAACTAGGCTATGGTATAAGAATAATATCTAGCAAAACATACCTGGTCGACTGCCTTCTCTAAATAGTAGAAAGCCTGTTGATCTGATTGAACATAGTCATTCTGTGAAAATCAGTTCAGTCAGCAACGCAATTACACACATATCAGCCAAAATATTTTTGGGTTTCAACTAGTGCTTGTCAATCAAATACACCATTTCTTGAACTAAAATGCTAACATGCACAATTCTATGCACATGAAAGCTAACCTCAACTCTGAGTCGGCAACCTAATTCATATTGCGCATCTTTATCACCCATGTCAGCAGCTTCCACTAACAAAGCAGCTCCTCTGTTGTGATTGAAGAAAAACAGTAAGACATGTCCATGAAGATGAAATAGCAGAAATATAAGAGAAATGAATATGGTTTTACATGAATAGCACAACTTCGTGGAAATTCAATGGACAAAACACGTAGTCGATCATTTTTTGTCTTTAGAATTGGAAATCAATTCTAAATGTCCAAATGAAGATAAATTGTGGAATTTATTCGATAAATTTCAAAGCAAAGAATTCTAGTTCAATGAAAAACATATGGCTAAGAAATACATAACTAATCATATAACATACTTATTATACACACTCTCTCCATTTCCAAATGGATCGTTTAAGAGGGAAAGTACAACATCCTATCACAAAACGGGTGTGCAAATGCATCTTGGACTATAATAACTGGTCAACATCACACTAATCATTACAATTGTTTGGAAAAAACAAAACAACAGAATTACAATCGGACTTTTTTAAGACAATGATTTTGTGTTGGTTACCAATATTTAAAACCTGAAAGCATCAATCATAACAGAAGAAAAAAGAAAAATCAAAATTAAAGGCAAATTGGAAAAGTTTAGGTTCTTACATAGCTTTACATGCACCAGGGGCATGATATTTCAGATGCAGTTTTGACAACCAATATCTTGCATGGGTGTTTGAGTTGTCAGCCTCTAGGGCCAATTCAAAGTTCTCCTTTGCTGTCTAATATAACACCGTAAAAGAGTAAAAATTTGCAAAAGAATGTGAGATCTCTAGGGCACAGAAAATTCTCAATCTAAAAATATACAACTATATCTTCTAGTTGGAAATAGAAACAGTATAGTTTCAGGAATACCTCCCCCCTCCCCCCCCCCCCCCAACAAAAAAAATACCAAAAAAAAAATAAAAATAAACAAGAGGAAAAAGAACTACAAAGAGAAAAATAAAAAAGTTATGCAGGAAAAAATGGTCAATCATGGGATATCTCCACTTGCTTCTATTTCTAAGATCATTCATTGTCATTTCATTTACTTGTCATTTCATTTACTTAAACAAGCCTGACATAATCTCATTTAGCTAATGAATTACAATCTCTTACAAATGTGTTCGCAAACATCTTAGTCCCCAACGCTACACGAGTAAATGAGTGAAAATAAAATCCTACCTAAGTTCAGCCTTGGAAATTGTGCATATAAATTTTATTACTCCTAATTTATGATTAATAATGATAGGGTGATTATTAATGATGACCTTTCTAAGGTGGTACGGGACATTGGCCAGGTAGAAGAGACAATGAGATTAAGAACTACTGGAACTCTCATTTGAGTAGAAACTGCACAAATTCAAGAAGTCAGATGGCAAAAGTAGTCCACCACCAGGTCCACCACAACCAGCAGCAGAGGTGATGGATTTAGTTAAGCATGGAGGCAAAGCATTAAAGAAGCGAAAAGCCAGTCAAACGAATCAATCCAACATGAGGAAGAACAGAAGGAGCACCAATCCATCACAATCAAAAGAATTAACTGGACTGGCTGATGCAATGGTTCAAATGCTGCGTACCCCAACACTTGAGAAAGAGACTTTGTCTAGTGCAGTCTCTTGGGAAGATGGAGATACGAGTAAAACTCATGGTTTCCAGTAGTATTATGATGGAACCATGCCCCAAAAAAGAGACCAGAAAATTTGGCAAGCACTACTAGAACCAGTGATGTATGCACCCCTGAAGACGGAGAAACCAAGAGCAGTGTGATGTTGCAACTTGAAGGTGAACTGATGACAAGGGGTTCTGATGGAGTTGTGGAATTATCCACAAAGGCCAATTTGGAACAAAAGGCCAAAAGGAAAAAAAAACTACTTACTCTGTAGTCAGAGCATGAGAAACCAAAAAGGACAATTTGGAAGACTATCCTCACATCTATGGCTGTATCATCAGTCCTATGGTTGACTAGAGTGAATCAGATGTTAAAATAATCAAATTCCAATGTCCAAATCTTGAAGGTTCATAGCAAAAAATTCCACCAAGATAAATTCAAATTCAACAGATAAAAGTGACTTATCAGAATTTTATCAAAATATCCAAAAGAAAATGTTTAACCAAGATAAGGAAAGAAATTTATCAGCTAAAAGTTTTGCGTTATCTTCAATGCATCAATTGCACAGTAGACATTTATGCAGAGGAAATGCTGCAAAATCCTCTGCCACTTGTCTACAAGCTACCAAATGTAAGGATGGGAATAACACAATTGATGTACTTAAATATGAATGCAGTGAGAATACTTGATCAAACTTACCCTAAGCATAGGGATGAGACGGTGGTCATTAAGATCACAATAATCTATCACTCTATCAACTTCCTTCAGAGCATTCCATCCTTTGGCAATGAACTCCATTGCTTTCTTGTTTCTACTATGCATGCCTCTCTGTCAAGTATAACAAGTTAAGTCTAGGTACTACAACTCATATAACTCCTCCTGCTAGTATTGCAAACTTACTTGAGAATTGAACTGGGAAAAATGAAGGCTATTTCTTGTAGAAGCCGTCTTTGAGAGCAGTAATCTCATCATCTTTTCCGTGTCTGCACATGGAAAAAAAAAATGCTTGAAGTCAAATGTACTAAGATCCAGATACTGGAGCAAACACCATAACCTTTCTATTTGCCAACATCAACGATATGCGCATAAGATGCAAACAAAAACTTTGGCTTCCCTAATAAATGAATTTAAAAATATGACATACTTGTACATTGAAATACAGAGAGGCATGGAAAACGGGAAAAGTAAAAAGAGATATTCAGGCATAATAATTTCTAGTAATGCAAGCCTTATCTCGACCTCACCTCAGGCACCCCAACCCCAATTAACAAATGTCCACCTCGCTAGTTCAATACATTTTTTCTCACTCCCGTGCTTTTTTTTTTTTTTTGGATCGTCCAATACATTTTTCTTGCTCCTGTGTTTTTTGTTATTTTTTTCTCCTCCTTCTTTTAAACACCACAAAATCTTAAGCAAGAGATGACTGCACTGGACTGGACATAACCACAAACACCTAACGTGCATTATATGAACTGCACCTACGTATACAAGGAACAAAATTTCCCTAGTTCCTCATTTGATACAACGCGATAATAATACCTTTAGGTTGTCTCTCTCCCTGGCTTTTGAGACTTCAATGGCGGAATGATATCTTACTTACTAGGCGCTCAGCTCAGCCGCCATCAGCTTCTTGTTTCGCTGTTGGTACAGAAGAAGAAACGGAGGAGAAAAGAGTTCGTATGGACGGAAGGGCAAATTTGGCGGATAAGATGATGAGTTAACCTTCACGGAAATGATCGGGTTTACTATTTCATTATTCAACAGGTGCTCTGCATTTGTAAAATTAGGCCCGGCTCATGATTCATGGGTTCCAAAGTCGATTGGTCGCAGTCTTGCTGGGATTTGTTGGGCACTTGGTCTACTACTGACAGTGACACCGCTTGACTCCCAAGACGGCATTCCTTTGACACTTGTAATGTTATACTAATTGCTGTATCCTCTTTTGTAAACCGACGACATCTTTTCCTAGGCCGGAAACTATCCCTCATTGGTCCCATTCCTTCTCAAACTCTGGGCTGTCCAATCTGGGTTGTCCAAGATGCCGTAATCCATGTACCTTTTGGATATAAACTCATGCAATCTTATTATAAAAAATTAAATTAATTAACGGATATAATTAAATTTATGTAAAATTTATAGTAATTACAACAAAATTATACAAGTTTTTTTCAAATTTAGTAAAAATTACGCCAAGTAGTCTGAACAGGAACTTAGGAGACGCTGGATGCAAAGAATCGATTAATCCAAAGAGTTTTTCCCTTTTTTCATCCTAAGGTTAGTAAGCGAGATTAGGGTGACGCTGAGCCAAGTAGTTCACCTCGAAACCGCGAGCTATTCTGTCAACAACAACAGCTTGACTCGATCTCGTTTTGATTGAATTTGAGCTGCTTGTTTGATCTCATGAGTCGAGTTCGAACTCCATTATATTGTATTCAAAGGTTGGACGAGTTAATCGAGCTTTTTATTATATATATATTTTTTATTTAATTTTTTATATTTATTATTCTGAAATGTCAATAATATTATTTATTTAAAATTATATATAAAACACTAATTTTTATCACGTAAGTTTGATTAGACTCGATTATGTTCGAATAGATTCGATTGAATTTGATTAGATTTAATTAAATTTAAACTTGAGCTCGAGTAACATAAATTAAAATTGAGTTCGAGCTCGGCTTCTAAAATTTAATAAGTTCAAACTTAATTATTTTATTTCCAACATCGCACTGTTCGAATTCGACTCGCAGATAAAATGAGTAGGAAAAATCTGAATTGGGTTCCCACATTAATATTCCACGCCACCTGCCCATGAGCCACGAAGAGATTGCTCTTCTTTAACGTGTTTAAATGGCTAAGTCTGATTGGGAGACAAGGGAGAAACTGAACTTTCGTAATAATATCACACTTAAAAAAAAGGAAAGTCAAAGGTCAAAACTAGTGCAAAACTAAATGGTCAATACAAAAGCAAAAGGGAAGGGACAGAATTGCCATTTACTAATTGCTTTGTCAGCATCACTAACATCACCGCGTTTTAATATAATCTTACTTCCAAACGGAGCCAGCGTTTTTCCCGGCACTACAAATATCAAGCTAAGGCCTTCCTTGTCGCTCCAACAAACACCAAATAGGCAAGTAATCAGCTCTGCTAAAAATATTTGAATATCCCAAATATCGGAAGACAAGATGGGGGCAGTCAATATCTGGAACGCCATCGAAGTTGCAGAGAGCCATACCTCTGACATTCCGTCGTCTTCCCTCACCATCGACCACTCCCTATCGCCTTCCGATATGAAGCCGCGGATCGTGTAAGTTTATCTTCTTTCATTTCCTGTTGTTTCAGATTCCTATGTCGTTTAAACTAATTGGAGGCAGATTATTTTTGGGATAGTGTTGTGTTTTCAGCTTCTTACGAGCTTTCTGTTGAATATGCTTTAAATACATGTGCTCTTCTGTTTAGTTATGGCATAAAATTTGAGTGTTTTATCTAATTTACGATGTTGGCCCAATGGTTGTTGGCGGATTTAAATTCTGGAGATTATCTCTGTGATCTTAGTTTATCTCGGCGTGATTTGAGCTGTTTCATCTCTAGACTGACTCATTACACGGATTTGGGGTTGGGGGAGGGTCAGTTGAATTGATGATTTTATCATCCTTAGTTAAAAAGAATGTGACTATCAAACTTCAGTGCTTTTAACATATGCCTCGGTGGAAGTAATTTGTTTTGAGATAGGAATGTCCAAATAAATGCTTCAATCTAGTAATTTTTTGAATGTTCTGATGATTTTCTCTGGTTTTACTTCAGAGAGCTGTGCAAGGACCTGTTCAAGAAGTGGTCTAATTTGGACGAGTCTCACTTCTCTGTTGAGAGAGTTTCCGGTGGCATAACAAATCTATGTAGGTTTTCAGTTTTGTGTGCTTACGAGTAATTAAGCCATAAGCAATGCTTGATTTTAGTTGGAACTTCGTGTTGCTGCGAATACTGCTTGAATTTACTTGGAACTTAGTGTGTCTGATATGCATGAAAATTACAGTACCTGATTTCTGGTTATTAATGTCAATATTTTTTTTTCTCAAGTTTAATTACGGTTGAATTTTATTTGAGTAATAGTCGTTTACTTTTTGCAGTGCTAAAGGTTTCTGTTGTGGAAAAAAACGGGAATATTGTCAATATTACAGTAAGGTTGTATGGTCCTAATACTGAGTACGTCATCAATCGTGAAAGGGAACTACAGGTGAGTCCTCGGGCTTGATGTTGACATGATCAACTCAATGAGATTATTCAATTATCAAGTGCAATACTTGTCTGCTTTATTTATATTACGATTCTGTAAAGCCTCTTTGCACTGCTAAAATGTGAAGTTGCATTTGTTTCTGATGTAGTGTCAGTAACTTCAGATGGTGCTTCTTCTTTAAAACAAAACATTTTATCTTTCTAAATTTTCTGCTGATCATTTCGAGAAATTTCTACTATTTTGTGGTGTCTTAGAGATGCTATGTATTCATACGCTCACATTGTGATATTCTTTTTTATTGCTTTACTGACATAGTAAAAGAAACAAAAAGCTGTTACAAAGTGGTTGTCTTCATGGGAGAAATTCTGGGTTGGCTATCGTGATTTTTTATTCTTGGAAATTCTTTATCACTCTGGTACTGACTGCAATATATTTTTAGGCTATCCCATACCTTTCAGCAGCAGGATTTGGTGCAAAGTTACTTGGAATATTTGCGAATGGAATGGTGCAGTCATTTATTGATGCACGAACTCTGGCTCCACCAGGTAAATTTTTGGAAATGCATTGAAGGAAATAAACATTTTCCAATTAGAACTCACTTGACTCAAATTAACTGAACTTTAATTCATGCCATCTGGGTTGGCTATTGGTTGCATGTACAAGAAAATGTAAAATTGCTCCTTTTCCTTTGAGATTTGTTTAAACTCTTGATTTTTAATTCAGTTTGGGAACCTTTCTAAGTTGTTCTTCTATCTGGAAATAAATTTCTAGTGGCTTCTGGTTTTGGAGCACGAGTATATGCACTCAAAATGCAACTGTGGAGAACAAACAGAAATGAGTTTTTTAGTCTATAGATTTAGGACATATGTAAATGGTCCTTCGGTAAGTTCATGCTATTATTAAAGAAAAGTGGACATTATGTTGGATGAACTTAATAAAAGCTCAGTACACAGTTTAACTGGGTTGGAGAGAGTAATTCACTAGTCTAGGTACATGGATGAAAATTGTAAGGAGCCACTGACCTGAAATTAGTTTTGACATTCATCCTTGCTATGGAAAGTTTGCCTTAAATGATGAAGTTTGACTTTTTAACATGATATGTCATTGTTGATATGTTTTACACTCTTGACAGACATGAGAGAGCCAAAGCTAGCAGCTGAAATTGCTAAACAACTTCGTAAGTTTCATCAGGTGGATATACCAGGTTCTAAAGAACCTCAACTGTGGAATGACATCTTCAAATTCTATGGAAAAGGTCTATACATGGGATGCTATACATCTATATTCATATTCTACTTCCTGAAGGTTTTTGCTCATTTAAAAGCATTATGTCTGTCATCCCTTGTTTTTGGTCATGTCTGAGTTGCTTTTATTGTTGAATGCAGCGTCAAACCTCAACTTTGATGATTTTGAGGAGCAGAAGAAGTATGAAACAATTTCATTTAAAGAAATAATTAGTGAAATCATTGAGCTCAAGGTATTATCTCCTCTGACTTCTTGTATCATCTGTAATCCAATATGTTTCTCTTTCTTCCTCTTATGGAACTGGGTGACTTATCATGACATATCTTTCTGTATAATATCTTCTTGTCCATAAATTTTGGTGTATGCATTTTGCGAAGACTATTGGCTATGATTGAGTGTTAGTGAACATTGCATATGCAAAGGAAGAATGAAAATATATTGGTTTTTTTGTTAAGTTGGGTTTGAGATTCTGATGTTTGATTATAGCAATCTTTGAGGAATATCTCTCTAGTAATGCTGTCCGTTTTATCAAGTTGATGGCATATTGTCATTAAATTGTTGAAAAGTGTTTGTTTGGATTGGTAATTATTTGCAAAAAATTTTTGATTGCATCATAGATACGTTTCCAATCACCTTTTATCTTTCCAACTGCATTTTTATCTCATATATCACAAAAAGTGTTACAGTGTTATTGAAGAAAATTTCCAAATAATCTACTATCTGAACAGACTCAGCCACCTAAAAAGTTGTCAAAATAGGATTTCATGCTGAAGTCAAAGCATGGTTTGGCTTTTGAATACACATTTATGAGTTTCTGATGATTTTTAAATTTCCTTCTTCAAATGTTTTTCCCCTTTTTTTTTTATTTGAGTATTCTTTTGGAAATGTTTCTCTGTAGATATATCAATGGAGAATGATTCTTCCCTGTCCCTGAGTCATGAAGTTATCTGTGGCATGATAAGCTATTAATTTTTGCTTGAAACAATTTCTGTTTTACACTGTTTATTTTCTTTTGTATCAATTCTAAACCAGCAGTTTTGTATAAATTTACTAAAATACTAAAATAAAATATAAATTTCTTTTGTACCAATTTTCTAAAATAGATAATTTACTCGGCTCTATGACAGATTGAATTTAGTTCTCTCTGTCATTCATCATAAAAGTGTCCATGTGTTGTGGCTATGTCTTGGAGTCAAGCTTCAGTGTGGGAGCATGTTACCCTGTTTAAATCGATACAGTAGTCTTCTCTCGACAGGTTCAGTTTCACATGATGTGGTAAATATATCTTTGTGGAACAGGAATTGACTGGATGTCTTGATGCCCCAGTAGTCTATGCTCATAATGACTTGCTTTCAGGAAATTTGATGCTTAATGATGATGAAGGTATTTATGCCTAAACCTAATGGTTTTTCTGTTGAGACTTCGCACCCCTTCCTAATGTTTTCCTGTTGGGGGTGCTCTATGTATGCATAACAGCCACAAATTAACTCCCATTTCCTTTGTTTCCATTTATTTGTTGTTTTCTAGAAACCTGGACAAGTTGCACCGCATCATTGCATCTATCCTTTTGCCTAAAATGCAATATATTAGTTATGGGTTCAGTCCTGCAAGTTGAGATACTGTAGGCTTGAGTTTTTCCAGCTAACTTATAAAATTCATTATGAAGCACAGGCCTCTGAATCATGTATGATATTAAACTTGACTAGGAAATATCAGTTCTCTAGCTCATTTGGCTTTGCTTGATTGGCCACTGTCTAGTAGTGAATGGGAACATGTCGAATAAGGATTTTGGTCGAAAATAGTCGTCTTTTTCTTAAGGGGTGATGCGTAAATGGTTCTTCATGGGAAGTCTGGAGATTAACCTATTGTCAACATTCATTCTGAATTAGTAGTTGATACTACTATTTCAATTTGACCAATGACTGTCTTTTGATGAATGTGCAGAAAGACTCTACATCATTGATTTTGAGTATGGATCATATAGTTACAGAGGTTTTGACATTGGGAATCACTTTAACGAATATGCTGGCTATGATTGTGACTACAGCTTGTATGTCATTTCAATCTTCTCTTCCACTCATTTGATGCTATAAAAAACTTGAGGTGATATGGAAAATTTATCTGCATGTAGGTGCCCAAACAAGGATGAACAATATCATTTCTTCAGACACTATTTAGACCCTGAAAGACCAGAGGAGGTATGTGTTTACTGTAAACTCATTGTACTTGCCATTAACAATTTTCTTTTTCGGGTTATACAAAGTTGTGTGTTCTAAAAACTTAACCTAGATAGGCTGTCTCCAACTCGTAAGATGTGAGCAGATCTCATGGCTTGATGGTTGTATATATTGGTGAATTGGATTTTTTTTTGTTTCTTCCCACCTGAAATACTAAAGTGGATTTCTGCTATGTATTTTAGGAAGTTAACTGTGATGGCTGTCAAATGCCAATTGCAGGGAGATGATTGTATTTCTCCTTCTTCTTCTTGGCTTTACTCTAGCAGAAGTATTGATGACTGACTTGCTGTTGGTTATGGACCTGGTCTTTGCTGCTACTTAATTCAGTTTCTGTTACTTTAGGCTTTGTTACTACGCTGCTTTCAAATATCATCCTTTGTAACACTAGTTCGATTTTTTGTATGTAATCTGTACAATTCAGCTTTGGTTACTAAAGTATGGTAAAGTAGTTTGTACATATGTGGTTCAAGATCATTCTATGTTGTTACCTTTATCCCATTCTGTTCTTTCATCCACATTAACCAAACCAGATTGCAGAATGATTTGAGATATACAATTATTTCATCAAGTAAAAGCATTATTGTCAATTTGAAAAATCACATGTCCGGGATTCATATAGGAAGATGGACGAATGTTTTAGTTACAATAAGCAACTTGTCGTCATAAGCATTTGGGACAGTAATGTGTTTCTGATGTGAATACGTAGGTGCTCTGACAATTTTATTTCTAGCTTCATTGATGGTTAACATCTTTAGCATATAAGAAACTCGAAATGTGTCTCACGAACTTTTTATGCAATTTGCTGAACATGAAATTAGTCAACTGAGTTGCCTTTGACATCAGGTATCTGACAAAGATTTGGAAGCTCTTTATATCGAGACAAATATGTACATGTTAGCATCACACTTGTATTGGGCGTTATGGGCTTTAATCCAGGTAATATTTCTTTGCCTTCATTAGTGAGCGGTGTTTTCAGCATCCCCTTGACTGCTGGAATAAATATAGCGAATGTAGGGAACAGTCAGAGTTGAAGAAATTTTGTTTAACTATTGAGTATCACACTTTTCACAGGCAAAAATGTCTCCAATTGATTTCGACTATCTTGGTTATTTTTTCTTGCGGTATGGCGAGTTCAGAAGGCAGAAAGAAACCTGTTTCTCATTGGCAAAAGCATACTTGTCAAGATCTCACACACGGTGAACCATTGGTTTTACAATTCTAGGTATGCTGTGATTCTTTTGTATGTTGTGAAAGTCATAGTAAAGCAGTAGATCTCTCTTTGTTGTTGTTGTTGTTTGTCAGTTAGGACTTTAAATATTTCTTGTAGACTGGAAAACCAATTGTGTTTTTCCAGATATTCGTAATAAAATTTTGTAGTATTTCTTTTTCATGCGTCATATTTGTTATTGATTAGTACTAGCCTTTCGGGGGCGCGTGTTGTCGAGACTTTCTGCGTTTTGAAATTTCATTCCTATTTTTGTTTGCATCGTGGGTTGAGGTAAAATCTGTTTGTCACTCCGTTTGAAAGCTCGTGATTTTGAACGTAGCACTTAGTGGCATCTGGCTGGGAGACGACAATCTTAATTGCACAATAATGCCCCGAGGATTCTGTCACATGCGTAATCAGCATATCTAGAAATCTTTTTTCCCCATTTCAAGGAGATAGAATCAACACTCTTAAATCGTGATGGAAGAATAAAAATTACCCTAGAATGCCAGCATGTATGTAGCTACCGTAAGAAAAACGGGTTTTTATTTTTAATTACAACAAGATCCTCTTTGAGAAGCCGCCCAGTCTCCTAGTCCTGATATGCTTCTATGTCGAACTCTTATGCCTCGATCTTCTAACCCCTCAGAATCTCCACCTTGGACGGTCTTATGTATCGCTATGGCTGTGCTTACGAACGCTTCTTCAACATTTTGAGCAGTCCTTGCTGAGCACTCGATGAATATTAAACCATGCTTCTGGGCAAATTCTGAGCCTTCTTCGGTGCTGACGGCCCTACTGCCATCCAAGTCAGACTTGTTGCCTATCAGCATTATGGTCATGTTTTTGTTAGCAAGTTCCTTGAGGTCCTTCAACCAAGAAGCAAGATGAGCAAAACTTTCCCTGCTCGTGACATCATAAACTAGGACTGCCCCAGCAGCACCTCTGTAGAAACTCTGCGTTATTGACCTGAACTTCTCCTGGCCTGCCGTGCCCCACACGTGAAGTTTTGTTTTCTTCTTGTCCGCTCTGATGATTCTAGTTCCAAACTCAGCACCCATGGTCGGATCGTGCCCCTGTTCAAATCGTTTGCTGGTGAACTGCTTAAGAAGGCACGATTTACCAACTCCGGCATCTCCTATTACAATGTATTTGAAGAGATAATCGTACGACATCTTGGATCGAATTGGAATAATGCACGAGTATTAGCAACGGCTGGAGGTTGTATGTATAGGTTGAAACTAGAGGAGATACATGGGTTTATGTACTGGAATAGAAGAGAGAATTTACTCCTTCCTATACGTACAAGGATCCTAACGTAAATCGGAGATGGATTAGGAGACGTCAGAGTTGGAGAGACCATCGTTAAGGATTCATTATTGTGTTGGTTTACGTTTTTTTTTTTCTGGAAAATCGATTCCCTCCTAGAAAAGGATTTGCACAATCAAAGAAGTTTGTAATTCGATGGTAGTTCAATCCATCTGCACAATCAAAGAAGTTTGTAATTCGATGGTAGTTCAATCCATCGACTCCGTTATAGGTTCAATTGACTCTCCTCTAAATTAGACTAGAATAGAAATAGAATAGATAAATGACGAATGACAAAAAAACAAACAGTGTGTAGTAACACTGTTGTTCTGTAGGATGCGATGCTATACTTAAGCATGCTTCCTTGGCATTTTTATTTTTTAAACCCTTCCACCCATTTCCACATCCTTTTCACGTCCAATTGCTAAGCATAGAATTTGAACCCTAAACCCAAGAAATAACTGTAAGAACCCTTCCCTGATCATTGAGCTAAACATGCTTGATATTAAGCAGGCTCAATTGAAAAAAAAAATCCAATTCTTATTCATGAAACGAGTATAAAGAAGGATATCCAAATTATCTATTTGCCTTTACGTATTTTAATACCACAATTAATATGATCAGGTATTTGCTGAAGAAGAAAGCGGCATATATTTAACCATTCTACCCAGAAAATTTCCAAGAACTTTTCCTGCCACAACATTTTGTAGCTTAGAGAAGCAAAAATGAGAGATTAACATCTAATAGTTTAATTAATATTCAACTAGGCTCACATTAAACATCCCATTTGAATCAGACGCATTAAACATCCAATTTGGCTCAAAAGCCAAGCACCATATAAGCCGGGAAATCATGACAGGCCAAGAGGCCACGGCACCGATGCTAACTAATGGAATTGCAATATGTACAACAGAATGAAGACTTTAACCAGTTTGAGATGCCGCATCCATACGTAGAACAACCATGTATCACAAAACCTTTGCTCTGCTTCTTCAGTCTAACAAGTAAAACCACCATTGTTATCTACCCAGAGTCTAGAGAGGACAGAACTAAATTAATCATACATCTACGAGGACAAACCTTGCTTGTCAAAAGCCATATAGTTAAGAGCATATCAAATTGGGGAAGCAAATAAGGATATAAATATTTTGAACCATTTCTATTTTCCAAGTGTAGTTACAATCTTCAAGCCTGAAGAACCTGGCAATGAACTATATGATGTTTAACACGATTCCTACCTGCAAGGCCTGACAAGAAATTTGTAACCAAAGTCTTCAACTGCCCTTTTCCCGAAATAGTTTCCCATAAATGTTCCGCTGGGGCTCCACTCCTACTGTCATCAGATTTGGAAACATCAACCACAGAAATACTCATGTTGTTCCGGATGATGCACAACTTTCCATTCAGAGGGAGGAGTGCAGCTGCCTCCAAAGCTTTGGAATTACCCAAATGCATCTTACTATCTATGTGCTTGCTCCAAGAATCAGTTGCTTCATCATATACCCTAAGTTTGCAGCCATCCTTACACTCCAATGCATACAGATGCCCATTCATTGAAGTGCTAGGGTTCCTCCAGCCTGCTACCATTCCATCATACACAGGGTACCACCTGTCAGTTTCGGGTTGGTAGAGCTCACTAAGAACCTGTCGATGAGATCCTAGCCCCTTCAAGAACCACTTGCCCTCATAAACAACACCAATGAAGGGCACCATTGCTGTACTCATCTCACAAATAATGGACCATCTGTTCTTGTTGGGATCATAAACTTCAGCTGATCTAAGTGACCGATGAATCCCGTCATTTTCTCCACCAGCTACATATAAACAGTTATTTATAACACAAGAGCCAAAGAAATGCCGCCTTTGAAGCATATCTGGTGCCCGGTGCCATTTATTTGTTCTTGCACTATAAAAGATGACTCTTCTCATTGATCCCTTCACCGGGTCTTTACCACCAAATAGGTACAGGTGACAGCCACTGAGTACAGCACATCCAAACCCAAGGGCTTCTGAATATTCTTTAGGAACAGGTGGAAGAGGTTGCCACAGCTGATACATAGGATCAAAAGCATGCCATGATATTTTACCATCTCGATCTCTCTTCATAATGTATATCCATTCTTCTGCAATCCCTAGATTTTTCCGAAGAGAATAGAAGAAGTTACCAGCCAGAAGACGATACCATCTCTTGCAGACTAATCGGAGTTTGCGATGTTCAATTCTTGGGACCCGAATTAAGCACGCAATGGCAAGATCATCTGGAAGTCCTGGCAATAAAGGGGATTGGCTCCGATTTTTGTCTCGTGGTGGTTTCTGTCTAGTAGGGTGAATGGAAGGTTTGATGTCAGGTTGAAGACAGAGCTTTGTTCCAGGAACATACTTTTTAGCTCCTGCAACAGTTTTGAGGCCCGCATCAACTCGACAAAGACACGCTGTTGTATCAACCTGCAAATGTACAATTATCAAGAAGAACTCGATTGTTCAACATTTCTCTCCATGTCAATGACTTGGACGTTATAGATATTCAGTTGTAATTCATGAAGTACACAAACAGACACTTTAGTAAACCTTTATCAAATATAACAACTAAAAATAATCACTCAAACTAGTCAGAAAATCTCAATAAGATTGAGACACCTGACTCTAAATGTATGTTTTCATTTGTGCTTAATATACACTGCAATATTGTAGCTTCGCGGAACATTCTGGTCCAAATATCTTCTAACCAGTTAATATGTGATCAGAACATGCTTGTTTGAACAATTATCAACCACTTGGTGAAAGATGACATTTAAGTTTAATTCAGATTTAGCTACCCTTCAATGTATTATCATGTCTAACTTCTAAAATTGAGATGTTTGGCATGAAGTCAAAGTGTTTGACCAAGTATGCTACAAGAAAAATATGAGTAATCTAACCTGTACAATAAACTAAAGCTCGTGGCACAGGAATACTGCCAGATACTTCCTCTACCCATTAGGACACTACCCAAACAGGCCGCCCCCCCTTGGTGGGGTTTTTTTTTTTTGGGGGGGGGGGGGGGGGGGAGGGTGTTGAAGGGAGCTAATTTATAGTAGTGAAACTCTTCCGTTCTCAATTTCTATTGAGTCTTAAATACACCCACATCATGACAACATAGTTTGCTCACGGCGATACCTCATTTAGATTAGGTGGTGACAAAATCCTAAATAATGCATCCGAAATCACAAAATAGGAAGGAAATAGAGAAAGGATACATGTACAGATTTGGCAACTTAAAATGGGAAAACAAACTAATGGAGCTCTAGTTTTGGAGGTACTTACTAGAGATGTGAGGCCCCCGAATTTTCCAAGTACCATATCAATTGGTAATGGAATTTTTTTTTATTATGCATCTTATTCCAATAATTAGCAATCATCCTATCATATATGCATCGCGAAATATTTTTTAAAGAAATCAGAGGACAAAAAATTCCACAAATGAAAGCAAGACAACTTCGTTCTCCTATAAGCTACTCCTGCCAAGATAATGAAAAGTAATTGGAAAGAACACAAAGAGAGTCCAGATTTTACCAGGGGAGGCTGGAGCATCCTATCCATCCTTGGACAATAATCACTCGGAAATTCCCAACATCATTTGCATCTACACTAACGCAACTCCAATTCTCCGCATCTTCAAAAACCCATCTCGAAAATCAAAAACCCACAATGAATGATCTCACATTTCACAGTTTCAGGCATCATAGACGGGGAATCCGAACCCTCAAAAGTCTTATAGTCTTTGAAACAAGCCCTAAAACCCCAAATGCGGGACAGCCAGAAAATGCGAGAAAGCACTCAAGAAAGAAAGAAGAGGAGACAGATAGATAGAGACCCTCCCTTCCACTTCCTTTCACCCTCACAAGCCCCTCAATCTCTCACTATTGAAAGATTTAAGTGGAAAATTGGGCCCATAAACTCAAATGGCACAACCTACCAAGCACAAGAGTGTGTACAACAAGAGACCAAAATCAAAGAAGAAAAATAAAAAGGAAAAAGGAAAACCTAAACCATGGATGAGGAAGATGAGCTGGGTGACATATTTGGCTACTGTTTTTAAAATCGGTAAAGAGGATTGAAATAGTCTAATAAGTAGTCTTTTCTGATTGTATGACAGCTGCTTCTTCTTCACCTGTTCATGCCTTCTTTTTCATATTGTTTACTAAACGTATAATTACCAACAGAAAAAGGCGTCCAAATGATAATTATTTATTCATTGGAAGGTTAATTTTGTCGGAATACGTACTATAATTCAAGAAAATGTCACATACCAACTGACCAAGTACCTGTTGCACAATGCAAATTTAAAAAAAGAAACTTCATTACCTAGTACCTACCAAGATTCCTATCTTTGCCCTTCATCGTACCTAATTGAAAATTTTAGTCACAAAAAATATAAAATTTTTTTTGATAAACAAAAGCAATCCAAACACATTGAATTGAAGCTTTTTAAATATTTTTTATTTAATATGTATCAAATCATTATAATATATTTTTTTTGATTAAAAATGCAAACAATGACAATCCAAAGCAACGAAAAGGTGACAAAAGAAGTCAAACGTGGTGTCAATAAACAAGATTCGTGTGTGCCTTCTTTCTAGATCATTTATAGAAATTGAATAGGAGAATAATTTTTGAATATATATTATTATTGTTTGCTGAAAGCGAAGACTGTGGAATACGCAGCATTGAAAAGAAGTCTGTATAAAGATTCAAAAATTTGGAACATTATTGTCCCACAATTTCTCAATTCTAACAAATGTGCCTTAAAGTAGGAGAAATTTTCCACTGTGTCTGGGCCCAACATCATCATACTTGACTTGCTCCACTAAGGCTGATTTTTGGTCATGGAAAGAATTTGGGTCCACCCTCCAGCACTTTGATCCTATTGGATACTTGATTTTCTATTTTTTTTTTTTTTTTTTTGGTAACTGGAACATGCCCGACCCAAATCCTTAGGATCCGAGTCGGCACACCAAATAGGAGGGAAGTCGATAGCCCCATACAGCTTTCTCAGGCGAGTTAGGATGTGCAGCGCAGCGGACACGAATCGAACCCCGATTAGTGAGAAAGCCAGCAACTCAAGACCGACCCCTCAACCGCTGCGCCATATGCCCTAGGGCCTTGATTTTCTACCTTACGAGTAATGTATGGCAAAAAGGGCAAAAAAAAAAGGGAAAACCCAAAAATGAGGATCTATTTGGATGAGATTGCTGCTAATGGCACGGCCCATTGCACTAATGTCCAATAAACTTGGAAACAAATAATGATCGGATCCGTGGCATCATAAACGAATCCCTAGTTAGTCCAGTAAACGTAATTGAACTTTGAACTCAAAAGTGGGGAGAAAAGGGGATTTGTGACCATGCATGCTCTTGCTCGTGGATTGCCATATCTTTTCCAGTTTTTACAAAATCATCCCAAATGATTTTTAACCAAGAAGCTGAGCTTGTATGATTGATTGGGCGAAAGAGCACAGTAGCGTCGTGTGTGGGTGTCCCTTTGCACCTTCCATTTCTTGCACTTGCGTGAAAGCGTAGTCCTTCCCAAACCTAATTGCCTTAATCATTACTGTCACTGTCCATGAACTTTTCCCTTTCAGTTTTACTTTTACACACCTACTCGTCTTTGTTTTTCATGGAGGATGGAGAGGAGAGGAGGGAGTTAAAAGACACTCACTCAAGAGGACTTGTTGGGACACAATAAACTTCCTCATTTTTTGCCGTCCAAAGGAAACTATTACTGGGAGAAGAAGCAAATCTCCTGTGATTTGCTTCAACTTTTTTTTTTTTTTTGCCGAAGCCACTTGTGGTATTCCAGAATTACCCGGACTATTCCACACCAAACCTGCCCAAGCCGTGTGGATTGTTTCACTGAGGATTCGATTCTTGATAGTGATGATACTCACTTAACTAGGCTATTACCACGAGTTGATTTGCTTCAACTCGTATATGCTTTTTAATTCAATCCATTATACCTCTACCAAAAATTTAAATCTAAAATACATATCTTCTATTTGCATCATTTTCTGTTCCAACATCTGTTAAATCACTGTATATCCTTTATAAATATCTTATTTTAATTCTTTTGCTTATCCCTTTTAAGTTTCAACAATCACTTACAGGGTACAATACAAAAGATAATAGACTAAATAACAATATGTAATAGAAAAATTAAAAAAATAGAAAATTCATTAAAAACCCTTTTTTTAGTTAAATTTTTTTTAAGTCTTTGATTTTCATATTCTATTCTATTAGCAGTGTTAGAACTTAAAGGATCAAGAAAAAGAATTAAAATAAGGTGTTTGTGAAGAATATATAACGATTTAATAGATGTTGAATTATGAAATAGTAAAGGAAATGGAATAGAAGATCCTTTCTTTGACAACCAAAAGGCGAATCAATTCGCACTCCCTATTGGAATACTACAAAGTGTACAAGTTGCTCTTCTTTTCCTTAAATTTTTTTTTTTTTTTTTTTTTTGCCCTTTTGGCAAAACAAAAAGAAGAAAGACAATAACCTTTCTCGTAGCAGCAATAATGTGCCACTGACAAATTACGTTCGACCTTCCAACATAGAAAGAGTGAGATTCCCGCTCGCATAGTTTGCAAACTTCACTGCACAGTGCATACAACCACAACCACAAAAGAAGTGGAGAGGCTCCGAGGATGACAAACAAGAAAATCAAAACCAAAATCACGTTTTAAATCACTGTTTCTCTCACGCCAAAATCATATGGTTGTTTTACGCCATTGTTGCCCTCTTGATAATGGCCACATGCTTTGGTACAAACCAGCAGTCCGTTGATTAGTTCAAGAGAAAATTTTGATAAAAAGGGGCAATATTTCCCCTAGATGATATAGCACTTGACATGACACAAATGCATTTACAATTATTATTTGACAGCGAAAGTAAAGTATTTTGTGTCACCTTAAGTGTCATCTTCCAATCGAAATGGTAACTTGAATGCTGGTTGGAATTAACCAACAGCTAGCCTGACAAATTTGCTGATCTGATTTTTCAAGCATTTTCCAATTAAGACTCTGTCTGTAATTTTTAGTTCTTTTAACCGCGCTGCCACAATGGCTACACTATGACTACAACATCAGTCATTGACTTGGTTGGTTGGGCGGATGGCAAATGGGTGGGACTCAATTGAAACTGTAAAATATGGACTGTATTCAAACAGTTCCATATTAGTCATGGGGACTAAAATGGGTTAGACCTATTTTAATACCGTCCAAATATCCAATAAATCCCATTTTGTTTTCTGGTAAAATTCTTGTTTCCTTAAATCAAATGCCTCGATGTTGGTATGTGCATATGTGTGTGTCATTTGGTTTGTTTGTTTAACTTTGTAAAAGTTCTACACCTCTCTTTTATATGTTGTGTGATAGTTTTCCAAACTATATGTATATAAAAAAAAATACTAAATATGAAATTCATAAAAGATCAACTCTCAACAAGCCGGTATTAGGGTAAATTTTGAGCTTCAAATTTTACTAGATATGAAATTTTCATTAATTCAAAGTATTGCTAGCCAATATGTACACAAGGTAACACAATGATTCATTACCACAAAGTGCAAGAAGTAATCTTTGTTATTTGTATGCATAAGCATGAGCTTTGAATTCAAGAGTAGAGATTATTCTAGCTAGGAGGCAAAAACATGGGTAAACCTGACTTAGAGATCACCATGTGATCCAAATTTTGTCACATCTTCAATTCTTGGATTACTGAGATGGTATGACAAATTTTGAGCCACTGTATCTACATAGATAGGATCTACTCAAGCGTTTGCTATACATAGATGGAATCTACCCGAATGTTTGACATTATGGGATATAAACAAAAGTGTAGTGTAGTTTCTTTCCAACATGGCTATAATACGATCAACAGATTACAAAATGTTCCAGCAAGCACCAAAAGCACACAAAAAATGCAGAGGTTCACTACATTCCACACACACACACACGTAATTGAGGATGGATTTTGTTGACGAGGCACAATTTCTTGACGTAAATGCTTAGAATCGGAAGAGGTATAGGCTTGGAAAATCTATCGTCAACTAATTGATACTATGGAGTTCTTCTTCTTCCTGTGTTCGGAGTGAGAGAAACAGGTGTGGCTGAGGTTTGGGAAATTGGGTGATTGATGAAGAACATCAGGGGAAAGAAAGCTGTCGATATATTTTTCAAATACGCCGAATCCCACATTTTAGATACCCAACCCGCCCAAATCAAATTTGGGTAATGGGTACCCATTGGGTCTCAAGTTCCAAATGAGAAGATAGAAAAATGGAAAATGGAGCAATTGGAGCCAAACATCCACGATTTGCCTTTAAACAAACGCCAAAAAGAGAGAACAAAGAAGGATAAAAAAAAGCTCTGGGATTTGTATGTACCATCATCACCCATTTCACTCATGTTACAGCTACTTGTAATCTTAGGAATCTAAAGAGCAGAATGTACATATAAGATTGCAAGAAAGTTCGGAAAAACTATTCCAGCAGTCTAAAAGAGTGGAACCAAAAACTATTCCAGCAGTCTAAAAGAGTGGAACCAACTCCAGATAAGAGGAAAGCGATATCGAGCTGAACTCACATCATAATAAGCCTACCATTGTATTTCCGTGATCTGTAATCATTTCTTACTGGCAGTCAATCAAGAGATTACTGAATTAATAGCAGGTCGCTGCCTGGATGTAATTCTGGCACTTCAGCTGTCTAAAAAAAAAAAAAAAAACTAATTTTAGTACAAAAGGGGGAAAAATAATACGCAGGATCTCCTTCTGGGGATCACCAGTGTCCAATGAATGAATGGAGTGCCACATAGCGACATCCTCCGGCAGCGGAAATGCTATCCATGCTCTGTCCCTATTGAGTCAGGAATTTGTTCAATTGAGCCCAAAAAATGTTTAATCTGTGCGAAGCACATCAGGTTGCGGCTTGAAAGTCCCAAGAAGCAAATATGGCAAGATAACCATGCCCGCCATGAATAGAGTGAACTGCCATATTACACAAGACAATTAGGCATCATCCTAGAAACTCTGAAACACTTAGTTCATCATTCATTTTGAC